CTTTTTAGCTCGATTACTTGCGAGATTGATCTACTTTTTTTTCGATCATCTCGAATGCTAATCGATTTTAAAATGTGAAAAAGCTGAAATGAAAGCTGAGATTTTTAAATATCAGAAAAACGGAACAATTTCCCTTTAAAACCAGTCGTTTCATGGTTAAATTGGCTAAGAGTTTACCATTTTTTAAGCTCTCAAAAGAGCCACAATGTCAAAGAAACCAGACGGTGAGCAATTCGACCTAACAAAAAAATGGTTTTTCAAAATAAAAAACTTTTTATGAAGAACATTTCCAGTGTAAAAGTAGCCATAATTTTCAAATTTGAACTCCGTTTTTCTCTAACTTTCTTGATTCGAGCTTTATAAATGATTCTTTGAGAGGGAACAAAACTTTTTACTCACCCTGGAGATGCAATGAATGAAAACGCAATGAATGAACACTACGATCATCACTTGATTTCCTTTGGAAACATCCTCTCTTTCCGTTCAATGACAATCCGTTCAACGACACCTGTCCTTTCCTCTTTCCATTTTCTTTTCATTCATCCAATCATCAGACTTTTCTTTTCCCTTCCCATTACACAGCTCCTCCTTTTGTGAGGGTTCGTTGGTGTTCTTTCGCTCGTTGATAAAAGAAAACTTTCGACAACGTTTGTCGTACGATTTTGGGTCATTCCTACTGTTAAATTGCTTAATTTTTGCCATTTTTGCAATTCCCATCTTGCAGGTCCATTCATTATAAAGTTGCGATCTAAAAACAATCTTCAATTGCTTCAATCGAATCCTAGTATTTACATAAATGTAGACTTCGTGACGTATTGAAATTCTCAATCACTTTCTTCTTCTTTCTTTCGAAATCACTTCCTTTTGAACTCTGGAAAAGTCGTTTGCTTGCAGACTTCCACTGGAATACCCTGAAACTGGGTTTTCAAAAAGCTCCTTGGCTTTGGCTTTCAAAACCAAGCCACTCTTTGGCTTTGGCTTTCAAAGCCAAGCCACTCTTTGGCTTTGGCTTGCAAAACCAAGCCACTCTTTGGCTTTGGCTTTCAAAACCAAGCCACTCTTTGGCTTTGGCTTTCAAAGCCAAGCCACTCTTTGGCTTTGGCTTCCAAAACCAAGCCACTCTTTGGCTTTGGCTTTCAAAGCCAAGCCACTCCTTGGCTTTTGGCTTTGCTTGTAAGTCAAGCTTAAAAGAGAAAAGCAACAGTAGGATGTGGTGAAATGAGATAAGCCATACCCCATTCGACGCAGTATTTCACGCTGACTCCGAATCTGCTTTCTGTTTTTTGCAAAATGGCTTTCTAGAAAAAGTTATACGTGTTTTAAGTTTTTTCTGGGGAAATGCGAAGATTTGAAGCCGAATAGCAATGTCTTTATAAGGGTTCTCTCATGGATCAAAAAGAGATCGAACTCGGGCAAAATCGTTTTGTATGCAAGCGTTTTAACCCTATTCTGTTCGAAATCTTCACATGTTCACTCTAAAACTTGAAACAAGTATAACTTTTTCTAGAAAGCCCTTTTGCAACAAACGGAAAGCAGATTCGGAGTCAGCGTGAAATTCTGCATCGAATGGGGTATGGCTTATCTCATTTGAACACATCCCACTGTGGCTTTTCCCTTGTTAGGTTTGAATTCAGCTTCGGCTAATGTTTTTCTTTGCAAACGAGCTAAAAGTGATCTTTAAAGCTATCAAATAGCACTAATAACCATGGGAAACGCTCAAAACTTTACCCGAAATTCTCGACTTTGTACTTTTACTTGGCTTTTCATTGCTTTTTACTGGGTTTTTACTTGGCTTTTCAATGCTTTTCATTGCTTTTTACTGGGTTTTTACACCTAGGCCCAAGGAAAGGCCATAGCTTCGGCTTGGCTTGCTTGGAAAAGACTCTGACTTTTTGGAAGCTTTTTTTGGAAGCTTTTTGGAAGCTAAAACTACTGAAATGCAAGCATTTCAGTAGTTTTAGTAAACGTAAACCTCCTGGTGCACAAAACAAAAGGAAGCATTTTTTTACTCGGTCATTTGCAAACTTTTCTCATTCACTACTTCCGGGATTTCCTTTCTCTCTCTCTCTCTGATTCGGGTTCTCTTCTTCATTTTCTCATCGTTGTTTCCCTTTTCGAGTCTTTTCGAGAAAATCACTCCCATCGGCTGAACAATCTTCCCACAAATGGGCTTGTTTTTGCGTTTTTTTTTTTTTCGATTTTCCCCTCATTTCCCCAAAACAGGGATACAATTTTACTAATTCACTTTTTTGAAAAAATAAAATAATGAGATTTTCTTGCAATTTTGTTTCTTTTGATGTTTTATGTATTGTAATCCTATTCTGGTATAGTTTAAAGCTAATTGATTGATTGATCCATGTCATTAATTGCTTTTAAAAGCTCTTAATCTCAATGAAAGCCACTTTTTGTTGAAAATTTGTTTGAAAAACATCAATATTTCTTTGAAAATAGCACCATTTCTATATAAAAAATTATTAGGTGAAAACACACTTAATATTAGATTTTAAATATTCTGTGCTTTTTTGGCTACCTTATTTTCTCTAATAGTAGTGCACTCCGGCGAGCCGAGTTGGTGACTATTTTACGGTTTCCAAGCTTTTGCAGAAGCTCAACACTCAAATCCCCCACTAGATCTCATCGTCAGCTACATTTTCCGACCCCACATCGATAGGTTCTGATAAGCGGTTCTCGAGATTTCGAGGAATTTAGGCGACGCTCTGGGTGCACTACTATTAGAGAGAATACGGTTTTTGGAATTTGACTTTTCTTTGTTGACAAGGACTTTGTTCTAACTATTTAAAATCTACCACCTAAAGATCTGCAACACTTCGTTTTGTACAATTTAGGCATCGAGCAATTTAGGCGACGCTCTGGGTGCACATTAGAGACATGAGACATTAGAGGAAATACGGGATGTAAACTCGCAAAACCCACGCGTTTTGGTACGCCAAATCTCGTGCGTTTAAGCAAGCGATCAGGCAATTTTTCTATGCAATTTTCAATGCAAAATTTAGCTCAAATTTTACGAGAGCAATGAAATTCTCATATTTGCAGTTTCTATATTTTTCAATTCTCATATATAAGTCAAAAAAAATGTGGTAACAAATCGTGAATCATTTCTGTTCGCAAAATGTTTTTAAAATAGTCAGTTTCTGCTTTTTTTCTTCCATTTCATTGAAAATGAGAGGCTTTTTGATGCAAAAAGACTGAAGATTCATATGTTTTTTAGGAAAAAAGTCGTTTTTTTTATTTTAATCCTATATTGGTTCTTGTTTTTTGGATTTTAGCCTTATTTTTGCCCATTTTTCTTTGAATTTTAGCCCACAAAGGGTTCAATTTGAAATTTCATTTTATCCCAAAAATTTCCCGCCGATTAGTGTCAATTAGCGTTTTTGGGGAGATTTTTGGCCAAAAAAACGCTCTTTTCGAAGAAATTTTGGAACCTTTTTGTTGTCTGGAAAAGAAGAACTGATAAAGGTTTCTGGTGTTCAAAAATTGGATCAACCCGAATGAACCCGAAAACAAAAAAACTCAAAACAAAACAGAAATGTAATGGAAAAGTATTTTCGCTTTTTTGATCTATTATAACTGGCAAAAGTTTAGACTGATTAAAGCCTGTGCTTTGATAGAAATAATAAAAATGAGTAGCTCCAATCCGTAGCTGAGTAGCTCCAATTGGGAGCTGAGTAGCTCCAGAATGAGTAGCTCCAATCGGTAGCTGACTAGCTCCAGAATGAGTAGCTCCAATCAGTAGCTGAGTAGCTCCAAAATGAGTAGCTCTAATCGGTAGCTGAGTAGCTCTAATCGGTAGCTGAGTAGCTCTAATCGGTAGCTGAGTAGCTCCAGAATGAGTAGCTCCAGAATGAGTAGCTCCAATCGGTAGCTGACTAGCTCCAGAATGAGTAGCTCCAATCAGTAGCTGAGTAGCTCCAAAATGAGTAGCTCCAATCAGTAGCGGAGTAGCTCCAAAATGAGTAGCTCCAATCGATTGCCCGACCCTAAGAACCCTGGGTACAATGTTTCTCTTTTCCTTATTTTCTATAATATTTCTTATATAATATTTCTTAAAGTGCACCTTCTGCCAAATCGATTCCCCTATGAAACAAAGTCTTTGCTAGACCTGATTTCATTGAGCTTTCTAAAGTGCAACTTATCTTTAGCCAGAAAGAGGCAGGGACAAGACAGGGTTTTCGAAAAAGTCTTTCACCGGACAGGGTTTTCAACAAAGTTTTCCAAGCCGGGCAAATTATTCGTTCAGATCAAGGCTAGTCCTGGTTTGATCTGACTTTACTGTAAGCCTGGCTCAGTCCACAAAGACACCGGTTCTGATCCTACAGGTTCAAGAAGCCAATCTAAAGCCATAAGCCAATCTAAAGCTTATAAGCCAATCTAAAGTTAGAACAATTCCTCTGCACCTTTGTAAACGTACTCTTTCTGGTTCACTCGATTCCTCGTTTTGCAGTTGGAGTTGTTCAACAAGTTGGAGAAATTGAGGAGAATTCAGTGCACTTTGCAGAAATGCAGAAATGCAGAAAGGCTTTTGCAGGATTTTTCAGCACAAGTACATCAAAAAGGACAAATTTGTCTTGTAATCAAAGCATCCGGTCTACTGAATCAATTTTAAAACCAAAATCCAACATTTACTTTCTTTCGAAAGTGCAGGAAATAACGTGGAAATAAACACGCGAAAATCCATAACAAAAAGACCCAAAAATACTTTTTCTCTTTGGAGAAAATCGTGAAATAAACACAAAAAGTAGATCTTTTTCTCTTTTTCCGCTATTTCGTAAGCTGAAAATGTGAAAATAGTGCGAGTTTTCGAGATGGGAAAAAGAAAAAGAAAGAAAAGGAAATTTTTCGAGCAAAACAACGAAAAAAGACGATAAGAAATTCCCCTCTTTGCCTCTTTTTTCAAAAAAATCGACCCAAACATTTTCACAGTTTCTCTATTTTCTGAAAAAAATTCATCTATTAAACTAATTTCTGTACTATTTGTGAAAATGGATTCGAAAATCGAGAAAGAACCCGAAAACGCGACGCGCAGAAGAGCGCAGACTGTCAGGTAATCGCAGAATTTATCACTTTAAATCCGATTTTTAAGCGTTTCAATTTAAAACCTCTTGCAGGTATTATAATATTTTAAGATTTTAATATTAAAAGCCAACTCCAAGGCTATTATGGATACCAAATACCAGGCCCAAGATCAGGCCCAACCGGTAAAGCCAAGTCAAGTTAAAACAAGCTAGATAGACTAGATAGAAGCTAGACTTGTAATCGGTACATGAACTTGCAAGAGCTATTTTCAATGGGCTGGGAAAAGGCTAACATTAAGTCCAAGTGATATTGTGAACCGAGGACTAGGCTAAAACTTGTTTCCACCCTAACATAACCTGACAAAATCTAACCCTGGCCCGGCAAAAAGCCAAGCCAGCCAAGTCTATGGTTTCTGGTGGCTTTGTGGGCAATTGTAGGACATTTGATACCCCCGCCCCTTTGCCATTGGCAATCCAACTTTGAGCTCAAATATCTTTGTGTCGGGCTGTTCAATTTAAATATTTTTTGTACCAGTCGGCAGAGGAAGAGTTGGTGCATCTAATGATACCAAGGATATTGAAATTGAACAGCTGAACACGGAGATATTTAAGCTCAAAGTTGGATTGCCAATGACAAAAGGGACGGGGCACAAATGGCCTTGTGGACAGCAAAGCCAGGTTTAGACCAGTATTTAGCGGGATTTTGAGTAAGCTCTGGAACAAAACCAGTTAAGATCAGATAAACCTTTGGCCAAGCCAAGCCTAAAGCCAGCCCAGAATCTTTTTGTAAGCTTGTACAAGAGGCATGGCTTGCAAGCCAGGCGAGATAATCCCCAGATCTTCCTCCAAGATTCAGGTACTTTTGGTGATCTAGACTAAGCTAGCCCTAGAAAAGCCAACAGGTTAGGGACAGGTTAGTCTTAACCAAGATTCGCTTCTGATCCGGGAAATTTAAACATTCCAGTTGCTTCTCCCTTGAACTTTGACCAATGGCTTTTTTCTTTATTTTCGTTTGCGATGTTTTGTCAAAGTTTTTTTGAGCTTGGTTGCCATTGGTTTTGTAGAGGGAATTTTCTAAAAAGTGGTTCTGTTTCTGGAGAACAAAGTTCAGCAAACTGTTTTCAAGAGACGTTTTTCTGCAAGGATAGTTTCTCTGACAAAATTAAGCTTAAAAAAAATGTTTTACAAAGTAAAGTCTTATTCTTTTTTTATTAGGCTGATGCATAAGTCTTTTCGTTCCTTTTCGTCTGCCGTTTCAAGCCAACAAATGCACCAATTAAACTACGGTTGATTTCATTAGAAAAAGCAATTATTTTTCTGCAAAATAACATTAAAACGGGTTTAAAAATATTGAATGCCTGGATTTTCTTGAGAGTATGAAGTCGGGTAGTCAAAAAGGGCTAACTCGATGATGCGGTTTAGACACCTTAGCTAAAGAAAACCTATCTTCGTGTCAATAGATAAAAGATAGAGAAAAAAAACGTTTGATATTTCGCCAAAATTTCAGAGAAATTCATTCAGCCAATTTTTCCGTAGAGTTTTTTATAGATTTTTACGAAAAAGGCGTTTTTCACTCTCGAATTTGCTTGAAAGTGAACCGAAATTCATTTAAAAAGATGCAAATTCAACAAAAAAACACTTTTTTTATAGAGCAAACTATAGATTAATTCGTGAATTCGTTACTTTTTAACAGAAGTACGAAAAAAACGAAAAGACTTATGCATGAACCTAATATTTTGACGGCTTTACTTTCTTTTCTTTCTTTGACAGCTTTCTCTTTGTCTTCTTGGTCAAAAGTCGGAACTAAAAAAAGGCAGAAACCAAGCAAAAAAACGGATTTTACGATCAGATTGATATTGATAAGACCGACTCATTTTGTTGCTCGTTTTTTGAACGAACACTCTAAACAACCGACCGGGATTTTTAGTTGTTTTCGTAAAAGAGAAAAATGAAAGCTTCCGAAGATCTTCTTTTTTGATTTTGACAGAAGTTTCCGTTTAAAAATGGAAAAAAATCTTGCTCTTGATGAATTTCTAAGATTTTTTTAGTCGTAGGAAATGTCTTTGAAAAGTTGGCACAAAATTTGACCAATTCTTTTCCAATAAGAACTGCCAGATCGACTCCCCAGAGTTTTGAGAGAGTCCAATAGTCTCGAAATCTTTAAATTATCTGTAGATGATCTTGAGCTTGAGGCTCTAGTGGATTCTTGATCTACCTTGATCTTGATTTATCTGTGCTACCCATATATTCAAATATTGGGTTGATGAATTGAAAACTGCCGAACTTTGAACTAGAATTTATCGAACATAAAACCATGAATTCATTCCAAATAATTTCCATTATTATTGACGACTTCTGCCCATTTTACAGGCAATTTGCGGATTTCTCTTTCGTAGTAGGATTTTGGTTTGTGTGTGAGACAAGTGTGAGACTCAAAAATGTAGGACTGGAGATGGAGACTGGAGATCCCAGTTTGAGCACTTTCTTCAAAAGAAACCCATTTTGGTGTCAATAGAAAAGTTGTAGAGAATCAAAAATGAGGCTTATAGCCAAATTTCCAAAAAGATACACTTAGTAGTTTTGCTTAAAAATGCAAGTTTTGTGAAAATTCGTAAATTTCGCATTTCTTGAAAACCAGTTTTTGAATCGTTCTGAAAATTTGGATATAAGCTTAATTTTTGATTCTCTACGACTTTTCCTTTGACACCAAAATGGGTTTCTTCTGAAGAAAGTGCTCAAACTCTCACATATGACAATAGCCCGCAGTTTTCAATTCACCAACCCAATACATATATTATATTGTGTTGCTTTTTTACTGGCCCTTTTCGTGTTATGTGCATGAATTCATGTGTATTAATCTTAAATCCGACGCACTTTATCTCAGGTCGTGAATAAAGTATCTATATCTATATAATTGCCTTTTCCCTTTGCTTATAAACTTCATAACTGTAATTTGTACGAAGTACTTCTAATTCCAGGGTTACTGTAGGCGAAACGAAATCGAAGCCCGGTAGACTTTGGCTTGCAATTAGCATTGGACCATTGTCATGAAGGTGTAAAAAGATTTTTAGCGATTTAGAACCATTTAGAACTATTTAGAACCATTTTTAACCATTTCAAACCATTTTTTAGAACCATTTCTCTAGCCAGCCAACAATTTTGACGTTCTTCTCCCCCTTTCTTGTCTCTTTTCTTGTCTTATCATCAATCTGTTTGGGGAATCCCCTCCCAACATCACCAGACAAACCTGTTCCCCTTTCATTTCCCCCCATCGCCCAATCCAAACAGATACTCCCCCACAGCCCATGTTTAGTGTGGTGATTTTGATTTCGACCACGTTTGATCTCATTTTTAAAATACCCATCATTTGATACTATTTCATTAACCGATCAAACCGATCAAACAGTTCACATTCAACGGCTTTAACAACTCTGTTTCAATCTGATTAGAAAACTCCTTCAACTTAGCATCGATTTGGGATATGGGACCTAGCGCAGAAGACGATTTCCAAGAGCTCTATGTAGCTCTGTGTAGCTCTGTGTCGCTCTATGTATTTATGTAACTTCTTACCGTTTATAGACACTTTAAAACACCTAAAAATTAGTTTTTGTGTTTTAGCAAAAAAGCAAAAAAGTTTTGACGGTGTGGGGATTCGAACCAGCGACCAGCCAGCGCGAAGACGGGTGCACTATCCACTACACCAATCAGTTGCTGTTTGTGGGAGGGTAATTCGGTGCCATACCGCGGTGACGTTGTTTATGCTGGACCGCCAAAAAGTACCCAAACTTTAAAAGCATTTCTCTCGTAAACTGGATGCGATGAAGTAAAACTGAAAACTAGAATCTCATAGAATTCAAGGTCGCGTTTCTGTCTATTTTTCTGTTCCACTCCCATATTCCAAATCCCAAATTTTTAGCAGTTCCCTAGTGAGCTCTCCTGAGCTCTCCCGAGCTCTCCCGAGCTTGTCTAAAATTTTACAAATAAGCTTATTAGCTCACATTAAGATACGCTTTCATCAGCTAAATTTCTAAATCTTCAACTATTTCTCTCTTTGCAACAACGCAAACCCATAATTGTTTGCTCTTTCCATTCTCAATTTGTTTAATTGATGCCAAAGGCCAAATTCGCATGCAATTATTTACCAAAATGTTATTAGAATGATTTTTTTAAACACAATCTGCTTCTGAGGAATTTCTGTCCTAAAAACAGATCATATTTTTTGTTTTATCCTTAATTTTCTCTACCACTATACACAAAAACACCTTTTATCCAATATCTCTAACTTGTTTTAGCTAAAGTTTGCAAAATTGAAGTTGAAAAGTAAGTTGAAACGGATTTGAGGCCAGTTCAAACACCAAAACAGCTGTAAAAAAAATTTTGATTGCTTTCTGACCATTTTTTGATTGCTTTCTGACTCTTTCATACAATTCTCGAGTTATCAATGAGAAAGCATTGTTCATTGAAGTTTCTTTTGATTCGAACATTTCAATTCGTTGCCCTGTGACGATTCTTTCGTTGTCTCCAAAAAGATTACCCTTTCCCTTTCACCCCACCTTTCTTTTTCATCAATTTTCACGAATTTCCGTGAAATTCGTCTGACCACTCCTTATCACTCAAAATTTTGCCCAATTTTTTTCTATTTTTCTACACGAATAGCTAAAATCTCTTTTTTTTGAGCATTTTTGATCTTTTCAAAGTGTTCACTGTGATCTCTCACAAAAAATGTCTTTGAATTGAAATTTGAAACCAAACGAAAGGGAAAACCAAAGGAAAATTCGTGAAAAATCGTGAAATTATTAAAACCAAACCAATCTGATTCTTTTTCTTGTACTTTGTGCAAGTTTTTTGAAAATTTCCCCTCCATTTTCAGCTTCGGCTCGCTGGGTGATTTTCCTTGGCATTCTTCTCGATCAGAGCCTCTCATTCACGACGATCTTCCACTCATTCGTTGCACACCGACTCAACGCCGTCCAATCTTTGAATCCGGTCCAACAAGTGTAAGTTGAAAGCCCAAATACATTAGCAAACGACCGTAAATACTGTAATAGTACCCCACCGCCCTCGTAAAGTCGCGTAGTCGCAAAGTCGCGTAGTCGTTTTTTAGTATTTCATTTTTTTTCAAAGCGCCCGTACTTTCAAAAAATGCGTCTTTGGTATCAAAAAATAGCCCTGAATCTCAGCTATTTTTTGATTCCTAAGCGAACATTGTAGCATAAACCAGTGTCGAGAAAAACTCGTGCAAAGCTAGACTACGCAACACTCCGCACCGTCATTATAGGGGTGGGGTACTATTACAGTATTTACGGTATTGTAAAGTGTCAATATTCAATTTCAATACAGTAAGTTTCGATAAAAAAGATTTAATTAAACCGCCCGTTGTAGCATAAACCAGTGTCGAGAAAAACGCGTTTTTTCGGGATGGTTGCGTAGTCTAACTTTAAACGTCCCGTTCTTTGCGCTGCTTTATGCTACAATGTGCGTTTAGGTATCAAAAAATAGCTGAAATTCAGGGCTATTTTTTGATACCTAAGCGAACATTGTAGCATAAACCAGTGTCGAGAAAAACTCGTGCAAAGTTAGACTACGCAACACTCCGCACCGTCATTATAGGGGTGGGGTACTATTACAGTATTTACGATAAGTCCTATTATTAGTAAGCAACTACTAGACTACTTGCCGTAAACATTCTAATAGAAAAGCCGGCTCTTCGATTTTTCAATGTCTCTCTAAAATTCTTTTTCGTGCCCTAGCTACCCCAATTTCCAAGAGCAAAACCAGGTCGAAATGCTGGGGAACATGTCCACCAGTAGCTAGGAAAATCCAGTGAAAAGCTATCCTTTCATTAGTAAGATCTGATAGAATTTTATAGCTGTTTGCAGAAAATACCCAAAGAAGCTTTGAAGCTACTGCTAAAATTTGCATTTCTTTTCAAAGTAAGCTTGGTAGAAAAGTTGCGTCAAGGCCCAGATCATCAAATTCAGTGTTGTGCCCGTAACTGACTAGTAGTTAGACTTTTTGACTGTAGCTAATTAGTATCTCAGCTATTTCGCACTCAATCAGACACTAGTAAAAGTTGTTCATTTTTATTTTTGCGCCAAAAAGTTTTACACAGTCAAAACAGACTTTTCTTTGCAACTTTGAAAGTTGAATCTATAAGAAAAGTTTTCTTTTCGATAAATACAACATTTACAATCAATTCCTTGATCAATCATTGCCCGGATATCAATTTTTCCCCAAAAATGAGCTCTCTTTGTGCTTTGGTGAGAGATCAAATGATTATTTGAGCCAATTCTCCCCAAAAACATTGAGAATGAGAAGAAATGAAATGGAAAAAGTGAAAGAAAAGGCATAGATTGCTTGGGGAATTGCTTCAATAGAGTGAGAATTTGATGACAACAGAGTGACGGTGTTAGTGGAAGAAAGGAGGATTAACGAGGTGACACTTAAAGAGAAAGTCTAGCAAAAGCTACAATTAAACTTGAAAAAAAAAAGAAAATCTTGATTAGTGAGTGAAATTTCTGAACAAAAAGTATTTCTGATCAAACTCTTTCATTGGCTACAACAGTCGAATCGGTTTATTCTGCTGTAGTGAGCAAGATCTTTGTATTATGATCAGGCCTTGGCGGATTCGGATCCGGATATCTACGAAAGAGTACAAAGAATATGGCGGCTACGCGACGCTTCAATAGCCAGTTCATAGTACCGTTGTGTAGGCGTTTAGTAGTGTCGCATAGCTGCCGTATGTTCTTTGTATTCTTGCGTAGAGACCAGGGTATCCGAATCTCAGCCAGGGTTGCGCGGATCCAGATCCGGATGCCTAAGCAAGAGTACAAAGGACGTTACGTCAACTAAGCGACGCTACTAAATGCCTACACAACGGTACTATGAACTGACTATTGGAGCGTCACGTAGCCACCATAACGTTCTTTGTATTCTTGTGTAGAGCTCAGGATTGCGCGGATTCGGATCTTAGCCAGGGTTGGGCGGATTCGGATCCGGATCTCTACGCAAGAATACAAAGAACGTTACGGCGGCTACGTGACACCACTAAACACCTACACAACAGTACTATGAACGGACTATTGGAACGTCGCGTAGCCACCATAACGTTCTTTGTATTCTTGCGTAGATATCCGGATCCGAATCCGCCCAACCTTGAATACCATCAAGCAGTTTACAAGCAGTAAAAGCAAAACGCGAAAATTCTTTAAAGCTTTTGTTTTCAGGTTGAAGAAATGGGCTCTCGGAAAGAATCCGCAAAAATGTTGACCATTGAGGAACCACAAAATGTGGTCGACATTGATGAACACGATGATGACGAAGAGGATTTCGATCAAACACCTAAAGTTCGTTTTAGTACCTAAAATCAACGACAGCTAGTTCATTTCACGGACAGACACGGCTCTTTTATATATAGTAGATTACCGAGAGCTGCTTTTGACGGTTAATAGAATAACAGAGAATAACAAGCTTTACTAATAGAGTCTTTTGGAATAGTCTAATAGAGCTCTTGTCAAGATTACCAGCCTTTTTCAGGAGTTGATCTTGGTGCCGAAACGTCTCCGTTGCGCGGTCTCGTTTCGAGCTGATGACACCGACAAATGGGGTGCACAACAAATGGACGCACATGAGGATTATTCGTTGACGTTGAGGGATCCATCTGTTAAGGTTCGAATAAAAGCATTAATCAAAATCAAATCAAGAAAGAACTCTAAACAAAGACTTAATTGAAAGGATAAAATTAAGCAAAATTGAAAAAATTTGGACAAGACCAGGTGTAATTTAATTATAGTCAAAAGTTGAATAGTCAGAGTTGAGATTTGAGCTCAGCTAGCTCACAGCTCAGCTAGCTCATAGCTCAGCTAGCTCACAGCTCAGCTAGCTCATAGCTCAGCTAGCTCATAGCTCAGCTAGCTCATAGCTCAGCTAGCTCATAGCTCAGCTAGCTCATAGCTCAGCTAGCTCATAGCTCAGCTAGCTCATAGCTCAGCTAGCTCATAGCTCAGCTAGCTCATAGCTCAGCTAGCTCATAGCTCAGCTAGCTCATAGCTCAGCTAGCTCATAGCTCAGCTAGCTCATAGCTCAGCTAGCTCATAGCTCAGCTAGCTCATAGCTCAGCTAGCTCATAGCTCAGCTAGCTCATAGCTCAGCTAGCTCATAGCTCAGCTAGCTCATAGCTCAGCTAGCTCATAGCTCAGCTCCAGTTCCAGTTCCAGACAGTTTTCTCGAATTCCCAGGCTCAAAAGAGTCCCAAAAATGACATCAAAACGATTCTCAAAAATCTCTCCATTTTTATTCATTACAGGTGAGAAAAACCTCGTTCTTTTTTCATTTTTCCGATCCTTTTCCGATCCTTTTCCGATCTTTTTCCTTTTGGTCCCAAGTGGGCGGGTCTTCTACTGGGAAGTTGATGAGAGAGAGGCCAAAAAAAACCATTCCTATTCCAACTGAATCACCTTTTCTTGACTAAAACTACCGTAATCCGGATTACTGTAGACTACCGTAATCTTTACAATGTGCTGAATAATATTTCTATTTGATTTTTTTAAAAATGTCCTTGGAGGATTTCACCTCAAATGACAACTCGTTCTACTTTCTGTATCGGGAAAAGGTGGTTTTTTTTAAATCAAAAGAAATTTTGGTTATTAGTACCATAATCCTCTCGATATTTTTAGCAAAACTCGAAAAAATCTAAGGGTTTTCCCAAACACTAATGCAAATTACGAAACCGTTTTTGGGGTTTAAAAGAATTGAGTTGATATGAAGCTGTTGCAAAAAGAAGTGAGTTGATCTAAAGCTTTTGCAAAGCTTTAGAATGGGTTATCGGACATTTAATATGCGCCCCGCTCCCTTTGCCATTGACAATCCAACTTTGAGCTTAAATATCTCGGTATGAGGTTGTTCAATTGCCATATTCTTGGTATCATTAGATGCACCAAGTCTTCCTCTGTCGACTGGTACAAAAACTATTTAAATTGAACAGCCCGACACAAAGATATTTGAGTTCAAAGTTAGATTGCCAATGGCAAAAAGGCGGGACGACGGACCCTCCATGGCAAAAGGGGCGGGGCACGTATCAAATGTCCCACATTCTTAGAATGCAAACTAGAAAATCCATTTGCACGTCAATGTACCAGAATTTCTGTGTTTTCTTGTCTTAAACGAATTGAAGGTTGGCCCAATAGTTGAGCGGTTCTCTTAAATGATTTGCTCTCAAAACACATCCTTTCTAGTGCACTTGATCCTCATTTTCTCTGCAAAACTGACTTATTTCTGCAAAGAAAATGCAGAAAATGTTGAATCGAGTTTGTTAGAAAGAGTTTCGACTTTCAAAATACAAAGTATACTACAAAGAAGAAATCTGTCGGGTAATCGCTAGGTATTTTGCATGTCTTTACCGTTTTTGACTAAAGCAAAGATAATTTACGATCCTCTTGTATACTTTGTACTTAAATCCCATAAACGCACGCTTTCTTGTGTACTCAGTTCTTCGATTTCTTTCAAAACCAGCGCATTTCTGCAAGAAAAATACAATAAATGAAGCAATCGATTCCCCATACCTCCATAAAGCTTTTGATTTTCAATGTAATCTTTGTTCTTCATGTAACTTCGTGTTTTTTTTTTAAAGTTTCTGAGTAAAGTATTATATAAATACTTTATTCAGAAAGAAATAAAGTGCGAAAAATGTACTAGATAAAAGATCACAAAGTCACTTAAAATGCAAGGAAATAGCCCTTTTAAAATCAGACACGGTGGAGATCAAACGCAACTTGTTGGGAAGGGCATTCCAAACTTTAGTCACACGATTTACGAAAAAAGCTCTAGAGGATTTAGAGAAAGCAGATTCGGGATGCAAGATAAAAGAGCCACGCCTAGTCGCCAAAAGCCTCGAGTTTAGTCGAAAAAGATTTTTAAAAAGAGGGTTTTGATGTTTTCCTTTTACAATTTTAAAGCACTCAACCAAATCTATGAGAAGACGGCGTTGTTCTAAGGTTTCAAGTGAGAAAAGTTTCAATCTATGTTTATAAGTATTGAAGTAAAGTGTTGAAAATAAGCAGTAAACTTCAACGAATTTTTTATGGGGAATGGTTACGCTAGAACTAGGCTATTTCTAGAACATAAACGCTAGGCGGAGGCGGAAAAAATGTCCGTAATTCTTGAACACTCTGTACAACGTTATTAAAAAGGAAACCCTTTTTAATAACGTTAAAAACTCTACGCTAGTTTATGAGGTGTATTTACAAAATTCGAGCTCAAAATACACCAAATTGCAAATACTTTTTCACCATTTTTTTTCCTCAAAACGTCAAATGAATTATTGGCTTTGCGGGGGTAAATCTATAAATTTTCTGTCGCAAAAATTTTGTCTTTTTCCTCCAGCCAATGATAAAACATGTTGCTAAGGAACGGGAATTGAAAAAAAAAGAAAAATTCTCAATTTACTTTCGATTTTTTCATATGGCGATGGACCCCGGGAAATCCCTGAAATCTTGACTTTTTACTAATAATGAGGATTGGACATTTTATACTAATAATGAGGATTGAAGGGAAATTTGAAAGGAAATGGTTCGAGTTGGAAAAAGGAATTGATGGATTTTGGATTTTGGATTAGTCAAACTGCAAAAAGCTTTGGTGTATTTTAAAAAAGGTTTCATCGCTTATAAATCAATAAATCAATCAATAAATCTATCGATAAATCAATCAATAAATCAATCAATAAATCAATCAATAAATTTATAAATAAATTAAGAAATCTTTTGACCTATAAATCAATTTTACTATATATTTTTAAAATTCGAAAAATTTTGGACAATGTCTATCGGTCGGCCGACACTTCAGAGGGCCTAGATTGGTCAAAATTGAGCCAATCGATCTGATTTTTCTGGAGATAAATCTTAAGGATATCTCTTGGAATGGTGCCAATTATCTAATCGATTCAAGTTTTCAACTTTTCTATATAGCTTTTCAGTTTAAAGACGGGTGTCGCTCGGCCACCCATTTTTGGGATTAACGCGACACTCGGCTCTAAACTTTGAAAAGCTATATAAAAAAGTTGAAAGCTTGAATCGATTAGATAACGAGCACCGCTCCAGGAGGCAGACTTAAGATTTATCTCCAGAAAAATCAGAACCATTGGCTCAATTTTGGTCAATCCAGGCCCTCTGAAGTGAGGCGCTATAATTGTGGGCCAAAGACAAGCTACGCTCAACTATGTAGGCCCATGAAAAAAGCGCAGATTAGGTTTTCCCATTCAAGATACAAATTTGCACCCACCCAGCTAGATTTGCTTATCGATACAAACGGCAAGCTCATGTTTGACCGTTCAGATCTTGGTTTCTTGAACAGCTATCAATCTGTAAATTGTTTCATTGGAAAGTCAAGAATGTCAGCTTTTGATTGCTATTTTATACATAGTAAATTCTCATAGGTGAGTGCTTTAGAAAGCTTTAGAGAGCCTTAGAAAGCTCAATACTTATCGATACTCAAATATCAATAGGCTTAAGGATAATCGATACTTTCGATATTGATAAATATCGATAAGGTTTATTAGGTGCTTACTCATTAAAAGTTGCTATGTATAAAATAGCAATCAAAAGCTGACATTCTTGACTTTCCAATGAAACAATTTACAGATTGATAGCTGTTCAAGAAACCAAGATCTGAACGGTCAAACATGAGCTTGCCGTTTGTAGCGATAATATCGATAAGCAAGTCTACACCCAGAAAAGTAAAATTGTTCAGCCTCAATGTTTGAATGGTTTACATTTAAAAGACTTGATCTTGACGTTTTTACGTTTCTTTGGATATTGCGACTGGAATCTTACAGTACCTTAATGTAAGCTATAGACCTTTTTCGCTTAATCTAATCAACTTGGTCTTATAGAACCTGATTTTCATTGTTTCAGTCTAAAGCTATTCCTAAATAAGTTTTATCTGCTAATTTATAAATTTAAAAGCTATGTAGAGTGAAATCAATTGGCTTTTGAGGTTTAAAGGCTTTTGAGGTTTCTATTTTCATCCTTGTAGCATATTTTTCACCATTTAACGTTCTAAATCTCTTAGAAACCAAATTTGAAGACAAAAATCGAAAACTTACTTTTTAAAGAGTTAAGAGTTAAAGGGTTTAATTTTGTTTAATTTCAAGAGTTAGTCAATGTTTTATTTGTTTTATTTGTTTTATTTGTTTTTCCTTTGTTGTTCCTTTGCTTTTCCTTTGCTTTTCCTCTGCTTTTCCTTTGCTTTTCTTTTGCTTTTCCTCTGCTTTTCCTTTGCTTTTCCTTTGCAACACTTTTCCTCATCTGATCAAAGATTGATAAAAAAAAGTTTCCTCGAGATGGTCTTAAAGATAGAAGAGAGAATTTCTCAAACAAAGCCTCTTCACAGTCTTTTTTTTCCCTTTCTGACCCCATCAAGTGGTCAAACGCATTTTCGGATTTCTCACGAGAAAAGTGGAGAAAAGTAGAGAAAAATGGACTCAATTCTACGCAATTTGGTGCTGATAGAGCCAAGAATTGATTAACTACAGGGAAATTGGATAAATCAATTACGAAAAACCGAAGCCTAAGGCATCGTTGTCATAAAATATGTCAAAGATTTCATCATGTTTATCTTTTGTTTTAGGTGGAGCTTCTCGAGCGGTTGAACACCTTCCGCCGGAACAAGGAACTCTGCGATGTTGTGCTTTTCGTCAAAGAACGCGAGATTTATGCGCATAAGGTAAATAATAAAAGAAGTGAAGGAATTGGAAAAAGTCTTGTTGAAAGGAAATGCAAGGAGGACATTAAAATCGAAGGGGGAATGAAAATTAGTAAGACCAACTTACGATAAAACTTTAAGAAACTTTAAAGTACGTTTAACAAACTCAGATGTTGGTCGACTGCCTATGAAGGAATTGCATAAGAAGTGGTTCATTCCTAAAGTAAAGAAGTGAAGGAATTGGCAAGAAAAGGTAGCTTTTCGGAGAGCGGATTGAACCCTCGACCTCGACCAATTGACGTTTTGCTTTCCAAGCAATTCCTCTAACTACTGAGCGATCCGGTAACTTAACTTGCCAAGAGAAAGAGGGAAAGAGAAGGGGGAAGAAGAAAGGAAGAAAGAGAGAAGCAGATCTTCTTTTTCTTTGGTTTTACAATAAAAAATAAAGAAGCCAATGCGCCAGGAAGGGTTTTTCGAACTTTATCGCAATTACTCTCAAGATTAAGCGTAAAAATTTGAATTCAAAATGAAAAATGCAAAAGGAAACACAGGCCTATAAGAGTCACAAGTACTTTTTACAATTTTGAGCCCCAAAAATTGCAGGTTGTGTTGGCGTCAGTCTCGCCGGCTCTCTGTGATATGTTTCTACGGGATAACAGTGAACGGGCACGCTCTGGATCGAATGGTTAGTTAAAACCAAAAACAAAACTTGTTACTATGGAGCTATATCACATTTTATTTTTCTCATCTCATAACAGATCATTTTCAAATGAGAACAGAGTGCTTTCCTCTCAAATAAGACATTCTGAAATACGCTATCAGTAAAAAAGTACTGTAGTTTTTGCTTTGGTTGGTTCATAAGGCATAAGGTTGGTAATAGGTTGGTCCATAAGTCTTTAGACATTTTTTCTACGAGCATTTACTATAAATGTTTACTACTAATATACGTTTACTAGACTTACTATAATTCACCAATTCACCTACAATTGGATCATTAGAGAGGTCTACTATTTCCCTACAAAATAACGTTCAAATCTTATGAAAATGGCAAAAAAGCACTTTATACACTTCTGCGGCCTTATATACCGTTGCAGCCCTATATATGGCTGCGGCCTTATATACGCCTGCGGCCTTATATACACCTGCGGCCTTATGTACAGCTGCGGCTTTATATACGGTTGCAGCCCTATATACGGTTGCAGCCCTATATATGACTGCGGCCTTATATACGCCTGCGGCTTTATATACTCCTGCGGCCTTATGTACAGCTGCGGCTTTATATACGGTTGCAGCCCTATATATGACTGCGGCCTTATATACGCCTGCGGCTTTATATACTCCTGCGGCCTTATGTACAGCTGCGGCTTTATATACGGTTGCAGCCCTATATATGGCTGCGGCCTTATATACGCCTGCGGCTTTATATACTTCTGCGGCCTTATATACGGTTGCAGCCCTATATATGGCTGCGGCCTTATGTACGGCTGCGGCTTTATATACGGCTGCGGGTTTATAAACGTCTGCGGCCCTATATACGGCGGCGGCTTTATATACGGCGGCGGCTTTATATACGACTGCGGCTTTATATACAACTGTGGCTTTATATACGGCTGCGGTTTTATAAACGTCTGCGGTCATGTATAGGGCTGCGGCTTTATATACGCATCAAGGTTTTAGAACGCTTTTTAGAACGCCTTATCTGACGTTTATTTGACGTTTATTTGACGTGTTATTCAAATAAGAAATTACTTCAGTGAATTTATTCAAATAATTATTAGTTTGACTAGTGAGAGGAACACACTCTAAATGAGAATGCCTTGTTCAAGGAACAGCTACGCTCGGCTTTAGTTTAGCTTTAGCTTTAGCTAAGTAGACTAGATAAACATGAGCATAGCCTAGATAGACGCTTTGGCGTATTCAATAAAACAAAAAACTGCAGTTTAAATTATTTTTTGATCTTTTAGGCGGTGGCTCAACTCCTCCGGGTGTCTCCACTCCAACCTCCGGCGCTCCACCCCCACCCACAACAACCACAACCGTCAACGGCCAACAAATGGCCTATTTCGAGTTTGCTCAAACCGATTACGATTGTTTCCTCGCATTGGTCAATTATGCTTACACCGCTTAGTGAGTTTTCACCTTTTCAAGTGAAAAACATTCTGATTCAGCCTCGAGATCAGTAGCAAGAAGGTGGCCGAACTCTACAAGACAGCTTACGCTCTTCAAATGACTCATGTGGCGAAAGCTTGTGCCTCGTATTTGGCTGAGAATCTCTCCATTCACAATTGCATTGGTTGGTTTGAGAAAAGCTTCTAGACTTCTAGACTTCTAGGCTTCTAGACTTACTATGAGACTTCTAGAGCTTTACTGTACTGCTTTACTGTATAGCACAAATCATTACAATCATCTACAAAGCCAACTTTTGCAGGAATCCGTCGTCAAGCCAACTTCAACAAAGATACGATTCTCGTTGACAAAGTCGACACGTACATCACTGAGAATTTCGCGCAAATTGCTGAGGAAAGCTCCGAGTTTCCGCAATTGTCCGTTGTCAAGGTAAGAATTCGAGATTTCGACTTTGCTTGTTGTTGGTTTTGTTGTTTTGTTGTTTTTTTGTTTTGCAAGCGTTTTGTGGTCAGATTTTTATCATAGAAATTCATTGAACAGTTAAATATAAGGCAGAAAACTTGTTTTTGGACTCCTATCATCTTAAATTGCAGACTCGTATCATCATTCCACTTGACGAGATGCAGAGTAAACGATTTGGGCAAAGCTTGGCCGAGCGAACGCTGAAATACTTTGAGAATTATAAAAGTCAACGAGGAGAGCACAATATTGATCAAATTGCGGCAAAGGTGAGGAAATTGATTTAGGAAAACTCAAAGTTAGATTGCCAATGGCAAAAGGGACGGGGCCTTCCTTTTATACGCGCCCACCTCTTTTGCCATTGGCAATCCAACTTGGAGCTCAAATATCTTGGTGTTGGGCTGTTCAATTTAAATAGTTTTTGTACCAATCGATAGAGAAAGACTTGGCACATCTAATGATACCAAGAAAATTTAAATTCAACAGCCCAACACCGAGATATTTAAGCTCAAAGTTGGATTGCGAAAAAGGGGCGGGGCGCGTATCAAATGTCCGCTAATCAAATTTTCTTGTCCAGAGCCATCTCCTCTACTTCGAGGCCGATCACTTGGCTGATTGTGCCGATTTGGACGATCGATCGTCGGTCGGCAGCTGTGATATCATTCAAGATTATAAGAAAAGCGGAAAGAAAACCGATACGTCGCAACAGGCGTCAGTTTTTACGGATGATTACAGCTTTATCTTTAAGCTGAGAATTGTAAAAATTAGTATAAAAGACATTGGCAAAGTACTATTAGTCCTACTAGATTTAAAATTTGAGAAAAGTTTTAGACTTGAGCTTCGAGCCGCTCCACCACAACACCGAGGCACTGGAGCGACAGCGGTACGACTGGACGCCTCGAGGGTTCCAAATGACAAGTGAGTGGCACAGGGTTATGTCAAAAGCAATAAATGGCCAGAAGCCTGGCTCTGGGACTGCCTGTCTTGGTCTGGCTTTGGTATGGTTTTGATCCATAACAAGTACCAAAGTCAAGCGGAAGTCTGGCTCTGACTGACTGGCTAGACCTCTGCCTTTGTTGCTTTGGTGGCCTGGCCAAGTGTCTGGGAACAGGTCAGGCTTGAACCTGACCTCTGACCGGACTCTAGTCTGGCCTGGCCTAGCTTACAAGTTTTAGGCTTGCAACTCTTTTAGGGTTAATTACTCTAAAAGTAGTGCTTTTTGAGCTCAATTATTGCAAATGCGAGGTTATCTTGGCTAGCCCCGACGCCCCACTCCCTTTGCCATTGGCAATCCGACTTTCAACTCAAATATCTTGGTTTTGGGGTGTTCGATTTAAATATTCTTGATATCATTAGATACGCCAAGTCTTTCTCTATCGATTGGTACAAAAACTATTTAAATTGAACAGCCCGACACAAAGATTTTGAGCTCAAAGGTAGATTGCCAATGGCAAAGAGGGTGGGGCCATGGACCTTCCATACCCGCCCTTCTTACCATTGGAAATCCAACTCTGAACGCAATTATCTTGGTGTTGAGCTGTTCAATTTAAATAGTATTTGTACCAATCAACAGAGGAAGACTTGGTGCATCTAACGATACCAAGGATATTGCAATTGAACACCCCAACACCGAGATATTTAAACTCAAAGTTGGATTGCCAAAAAGGGGCGGGGCGCGTATTGAATGTCCCACAATCGAACAAATGACATGGATACAGTGGGTGAAAAGTACGGTAACTGTAATATTATAGTATAACTTATAATTCATTGTAAGAGATAGGGATAGGATCACGGTAGTTATTGGCACATTTTAGAGAAGGACATAAGTTCAGATTGTGGGGCATTTGATACGCCATTTGATAAAAAAAGATTTCACCAGTATAAAGTTTATTTTTTAAAAACTTTGAAAACTTTCAAAGACGTTTTAAAACTTTTCAACTTTCAGGTACGGCTCCACGGAAAGCCTTGACTCGGTGGGCAGCGGGGAAAGCGATCCGGAGAACACGATCAGCACGCGTCTCTTGGCCGTTCATCAAACATCTCCCGATTACTGGATGGCGTTGGTCATTTTGTACCATCGTCTCGTCGTTCTTTCCATTCAAATTACCGACGACGAGGAGCTGGGCGGAAAGAATGGACCAAAGCAAAATGGGATCGATGCTCAGAAGCAACACTTGTTGAACAAATTGGTGTCAGCTGCAGGAGCACAGCGAAAACCGCTGCCGACAATGGGCGGAGCAAGAGCCTCGACTGGAGCCGTTTTCCTTGAGGGGAAAATTATTGTCTGTGGTGGGTTTTTGATCAGAAAATCTTGGCTTTACCGTACCTTACTCTAATAGGAAACCCTTAAGGCATAAAATGAGCGAAAAACCGCTTATCGGAACCTGTTGTGGAGTCGATAAGATAGGAGATCTAAGAGTTGGACTTCTGGAGACGCTGGCTTTACTAGTAGATCATCATTTGAGACTTTCTGGAAAGCCTAATAGTACTTGAATCATACGATTGTTGATTTGTAGAGCAAAATTTAATAAACTATAGATTTCTTGAATATTTACTTGATCTATTTGATCTATGGCTATGTAATAAAGTATTTTAGGTGGCTATGATCGTGGCGAGTGCTTGAAGAGTGTTGAGGAGTACGATGTGGTGAAAGGAGCATGGAAACAGTTGACACCAATGAATGATGAAAGGGGACGATTCGATACAGCTGTCATTAAGGGAAAGGTGGGGGAAAAGATGCCTAACACATAAAGTTACTTACCTAATTATGTCTTGAAATGAATCTAGTGAACCGTCTGTAAACTTTTCAAATTCCAGGTCTACGCGGTGGCCGGCTCAAACGGAAATCACGATCTGAAAACGAGTGAGGTGTTCGATTCGAAAACTGGGAAATGGAGTCCCATCAAGAGTCTCCACAAAGCGAGATCGCACAATGGATGTGCAGTGCTTGACGATGTGCTGTACTGTGTCGGTGGAAGCAATGATCAAGTGGTGATGAGGGTAAGTGAAGAATCGGGATTCTATTCAAAATTAAACTTAATTCAATACTGACATTGGGTACCTCTGACAGATTGACTCAAGAAATCAAGTAGTTTTCGGATTCCCATAGTTGATCGCTTTCAAAAGAGACTCAAGGAGCTACACCAGTCTGTATGGGATGAAGGTACGGATAATCTAGTCGAGTTTTGGTTGGTCTGGCCTAACTATAAGCTGACTTGGTCCAGTTTGGCCTAGTCCGGCCTGGCCTAGTTCAGGCTGGCCTAGTTCAGCCTGGCCGAGTTCAGGCTTGACTCCGGTTTTGTCTAGTCCGACCTGAACTGGTCCAGCTTGGCTTGGTCTAACTTGGAGTTGGACACACCGGTCCTTTTATGGGTTAGAGCTGGGAATACAAAACATGGACTCGAACCCGCAACCTCTCGCTTACCGGGCGAACGCTCTACCAATTAGCTACACCGACACGTATCCCATAGTCGATTGTAGGATCGATAGTCGATCGAGACCTTATGCCTTACTTTGGTCGGTCCTAGTCCGTCCTAGTCCGTAGCCAAGTCCACCTCAGGGTCTAGCTATCCCAGAGTCCAGAGTCGTTTAAAGTTTCTGGGAACAGCACGACCAGGTTATAAAGTGTACAAAAAACTGACAAAAAGCTGCCGGCGAAAATATCAAAATATCGAAAGTGCTTTTCTTAATTAAACAAACGATTCCAGGACTGCGAAAAGTACGACGTGGACAGAGACGAATGGACGGCAATTCCACCAATGGTCACCGGTCGATATCAAGCAGGCGTTGTTGCGTGGAAAGGGTTATTAGTGGCTGTCGGTGGCTGTGATCGATGGGCATGCATTGACACGGTGGAAGCTTTCGATCCAAAAGTCGGACAATGGAGGGAATTACCCAAATTGAGGACACCGAGAAGGGGATGTGCGGTGGCGGTGGTCAGAGGTGGGATTTTGATTTTCCTGATGTAAAGCTGAAGTATTGATTTCAGAAGTCAATAACTAAATAGTTTTTGTGCTTATAAAAAGGGACTTTTAGATATCCTGTACATCATTGGTGGTCACGATGGGACGAACTCGTTGTCAACAGTCGAGGTACGGTGTTGGAGCTGGAAAATTGATAGCTTATGGATTTTGAGAGTAATGAAACTAACTCTGATTTATTTTAGCATATCAATTTCATTGCTTGCCCTAAACCAATCACTTTTCCAGGTCCTCGATCATCCAAACGGTCAATGGCGTGCCGGTCCGGTGTTGACGACGCCTCGAGCGAACACCCACGCCGTGGTTACCGCCGGCAATGTAATCTATGTGATTGGTGGATTTAACGGAGTGCAATTCCTCAACACTATTGAGCTCCTGGAAAGTGGTGAGTTGTAGAAAATAGAAGTAACGAAAGCATCTGTCGGTCCTTTTTGCCGTTGGTAATTTAAAGTTTTTCGTGTTTTTCTCAGCACCAACCTTTTGCTTTTGACTATTTTGACTATCATTTCGATGCAGAATAAAATTACGCGTCAAATGATACCAAAATTAACTCAAAATGTAATATCCATGCAAAGTTATGAGGCAAAAGGTTATAATGGGTGAGATTTCGGTTTTTAGCCAACAACTTTGCGTGGAAATCATATTTTGAGTTGATTTTGATATCATTCAACGCGTAATTTTATTCTTAATCGAATGATAATCAAAATAATCAAAAACAATAGGTTGGTGCTGAGGAAAACACGAAAAACTTTAAATTGCCAACGGCAAAAAGGACCGATAGATGTTTTTGTTACAACTTTAGTAGAAAACATACAAAATTGGAAAAGAAACCAGCTAGCTTCTTTAAAAATAGATTTTGTTTTGAAAATGTTTAATTGGATTGGGTAACTGAAGCGAATTTCGGTTCAGTTACCCAACTTTATTATTTACGCTCACTTTGCAAACTCACCTTTTCTGGCGCATTGAATTTAAGTAAACAATAAAAGCTAAAGTTGAGTAACTAAATCGAATTGGCTTTGCCGTAAATACTCTAATAGAAAGCCAGCTTCTTGTACAATCGCGTAGTCTAACTCCTTTTTGGAAGTTAGACTTTTAGAACCTTTAGAATTTCTTCCTCTTCTTTTTCTCAGCCTCTAGATTTTCAGAGCTACACTTTTGGTACCAAAAATACTAGATTTCAAGAGCTATCATTCGAAACCAAAACGGCAACTGTAGCTTAAAGCAGCGCGGAGAACGGGACGTTTAAAGTTAGCCTACGCGACTGTACGCTTGTAAGGCGAGATTGTACGCTTGTAGGGCGCGACTGTACGCTTGTCCACTGTACATTATAGAGTTCTATTAGAATATTTACGGCAAATAGTAAGTGTTTTTGACAAATCCAGCCAGCAAGAGCGTGTTTAGATTCGTGAGCACAAAGAACAACCCCAGATTTACGTTCATTAAATGCAAATTTTCAGAGAGTGTCGGCTGGTGCAACTATCAGCAACAATCGATGGATTTCACTTTAGCTGAAGAGGAAGAAGAGGGTGATGGACTTGAAAGAGATCGTTCACAGCAAAGATCCACGGAGCATTCACTCACTCCACCAACCACTCAACAATCACATCAAATGACTCCTGTTAAGGCTAAATAATCTTTATTATATCTTTTCTTATTTCTTTTTTCGAGATTCCCCCCATTTTAACGAATTTCCCTTATTTATTTCACATCTTCACCAACCGTAATCCAATTTTTTTTCTGTTTTACATTGCTCATCGTTGTGCACATTCGTATGGGTTCAAAAAAGGGAATTTTCTAAGATTCATAGCTATTTTTCTTGAAAATCTTGTTATTATCATCGTTTTTTGAAAGATTACGGTTCATCAACAAGCAAAAAACAATGTGTTTTACCTTGAAAATTCATCATATCTTTAGATTCTTAAAAATCGATTGTTTTCTCTTTTTTTGTACAAATTGAAAGAGAAAAGAAATAAACCTCTTTTCAGCAAATCGTTTTGACAGAAAATCACACAAATGAAGATTAATGAACACCTTAACAGCATACCGTATTTTCTCTGATAGTAGTGCACCCTGAGCGTCGCCTAAATTGCTCGAAATCTCGAGAACCGCTTATCAGAACCTATCGATGTGGGGTCGGAAAATGTAGCTGACGATGAGATCTAGTGGGGGATTTGAGTGTTGAGCTTCTTGGAAAAGCTTGGGAATGATAGAATAGCCATCAAACTCGGTTCGGCGGGGTGGTCAGATCGGCATCCATATAGACTCATCCGCCTTGTTCATATCGTCCTCCTCTTCGATGTTGTCGTTTCCTAGCGCAAACTCTGCCTTTTTAAAACAGTTTTCGAAACACAGTCTTCCATTACAATTGCTTCTTCGCTTTCACTCCCAGAAAGTAGAACATCGGCATTTCTCGATTCTAAGGCTATTTCTTCAAATGAACGCACACCTCTAGTCACAACCAAGTCGTCGGCAAGCATGAAATTCATTGCATTAATGTTCTTTTCCACATTATCTCGGTTACAAATTTGCATCCATATAGGCATCCTTGTTCATAACGTCCTCCTCTTCGATGTTTGTCCTTTCAAGCTTTCTATTTAAAGTCCGTTTTTGCCGCAAAAATCGTTAGATTAGTAAAAATATTCAATATTTTGGAAATTTTATCGTTATTTCGAGAAAATCTTTATAAAGGAATCGGTAAATCGAGGTTTTTTATAAAGTTAAAATTTACGTTACGGCTGCCGGGACCGAGCACAGCTATCGTTATCTAGAGGTTATCGTTATGCCGAGGGTCGTTATAAAGAGGCTCGACTGTACCTAAAACTAAACATTTACCGTATTCTCTCTAATAATAGTGCACCCTGAGCGTCGTTTAAATTACTCGAAATCTCAAAAATGGTATCCAAATGGTATCCAATGACTTTCCATTAAAGTTCAGAAGTTCAAATCTCAAAACGAGCTAAAGGTCTTTAGGTAAATAACTACAAAATGATACTGTTACAAGTGGGTTTGGCCATTGAATTTATCCCCTGAAAACTCTTAGTACTTGATCTTTTATTTGTGTGTTGGCTGAGAGCTGATCGGTGAGAGCTGAGAGCAGGTGCCGAGAATTTCCGAATTGATGCATGCAAATCGATTCTGATGTCATAAATGCTCTATCGTTATTTCTAGCATTCAAGGATTAGCTTAAAAATCAATAAACCATTGCATTGCACAACATCCCTGCCACAGCGCTGTCCACATAAAGAAACAGGCAATTCAATCTAACAGGACTTCAAATTCTTAACACGAAGCATAAATCTTGAAAGTCAATGATCATTGTTTTGTGGAGTGACGATGCTGAAAGGAAATAACCGTTTTTAATGGCTGCAGTTTTTATGCAAGCCAACCCGTAGTTTAATTTCAACGGGCACGGTGCGTTGTGTTACATTGCTCTGCGCTTGGGATAACTCCGAACCTGCGACTAACCGAGCCCAACGTTGCTTAATCTGGAGACCCAACTTGGAAGCCTAGGTGTGTTATTATTTTTGATATAATACTTCTACGTATCGAACAAGCACACTTTCAGTTTCTATCTTCAACCATTTTCCTTTCATTGTTAACTATTTTTGATGGCTCTGTCTTTATAATGATCCATCGACGAGTTCGTCAAACCACAAAGGATTGACAACAGTTAAGCTATCGAAAAACTGATCAGATCAAGAAAAGAATAAAAATTGGTGCTACAACTAGGCTTTGACTTTGACTTCAGCTAACAGCTTCATCGATTTGGACATGAAAAGATTTGATCTATGTATTTTGCTCTCTATTTTGTCTTTCAGATGGCTACTAAAATAGCTGGCGTTGTTATGACGGTGACTGTAGGAATTGGATCAGACTATGTCACCTTGTCGATGACCTGTTTCTTTATGTGGACAGCGCTGTGGCAGGGATGTTGTGCAATGCAATGGTTTATTGATTTTGAAGCTAATCCTTGAATGATAAGCTTTTAGCTTCACTTATGTGATTCTTCTGCGCGAACCCCGAGCAAAGTCGCGTACAACATTGCGTGTCTCGATAGTCACCACCACTCAAAATGATTATTAAAGAATTTTATGTTGCTCTGAGAAAAAAAAACAATAAAAACAACGACAAATCATTGATGACAAGAAAAGAGAGAATAAAATATTATCCAGTTATTCAGATTAAATCAAAAGCAGTTATCTCTCAAAGTATTGATCCTCGAAATCAATAAAATTCTTGTAAACTTGCAAAGAGTTTATTTAAATGTCGCAGCCGATTTTAACTAAAATCATGAAATCTTAATTATTGTTTTTTGAAATATAAATCGACTAGGCGATTTTGGGGTAGGCTACTTTGCGTCAATTTTTTTGCGCAACTCGCCATAACCAGTGCCTACCCCGCGATTTTAAATTAAATCTATCAATATTAACTTTTTCTTTTTAAATGCGAGTTCACTTTCATTGTTTTTCCCAGACTTTTCCTACTCTCCTTCACATTTTAGCATTTTCCCTAATAAAGAAAAAGTTTTTTTTACTTTTAACTAACTTGATTAACTTAAAAAGATTTAGCTTTTAGCAGTAAACGAATGAAGGCGCTAGAATTTAAGAATAGTATTTATAGATCGATAATTATTTAGGTAGAATTTGGTATCCGTTATTGTGTTTAGAATATTTGTTAATTTAAAATAGTTATTATGTTGGTTAGGCTTTAAATTTGATAACGGGCTTCAAAATGAATTTTTCCACACCGAATGGTCCTTAAGTCTTTTACCCACCATGTAATTTACTGCAGTTCCATCTTTAACTGTGAAATTATATTTTTAAATGTTTATCTTGGCAGAAAGGTACGTTTTCTTATCGGACCCCCTAGCGTGAATTATGCTGATACTTCTCGTCTTTTTGATCATTTATCACTTTTCTTGCATGATTCGGAAGTCAACATGTTACTAGGCGATTTAAATTTTCATGTGACCTATTCTAATGACAAATTTGTGTTTGATAAGTACCACCATCCCACCATTTTGCTACAAAATTTCCTTATTACATGCTCTCTATTTATTTTAAACACATCTGCTACCTTCTGCTGTTCATTTTCCATTTTAGATCTGGTCTTGTCCGATTCCCCTGATATCATCATGGAGTTACAGCGATTGGGGCCTCTTCCTGGATCTGACCATTATGGGATCACGTTCAAAATTGGAGGACTGCAATTTCCTACTCCTCCGCGGAAAGGTTGCGTGCATTTTGATTTTAATCCCGACCAAGCGGCTCTTTCCCTCTTAAACTCCCTTAGAGGGAGCTCTTTCTGCTGACAAATTCTATAGATGGTGACTATAATCTTCTCTGTTCTAAAATCCTCCTTGCCATAGAAAACTCCTGCACTCACCCTGTAAAATTAACTCCAAATCATATTACGAGAGCTAAAGCAAGACTTTTACATTTTTTGGAAAGATCTAATTACGCAAATCCTCTGGTTGACCCACTAGTAATCAAAGAACAGCGCAAGTTTTTGAAATTTTGTCAAAAGTTTGAGTCAAACATTGAGAGCAAAGCTGTTTATTCGAAAAACAGCAAGTCTTTCTTCTCCTATTTAAGCTCTAAAACAAAAGATCCAAAGATAGTCTCCAATTCGTTCGCTGACCCTTAGATGGTAGACAGAAAGTCTTTCTTCTCCTGAAAACCTTTTCAGTAACTATCGTTTCATCTCTTTAACCTCCCCTGTATCCAAACATTTTGAAATTATCATCAAAGATAAAATTACAGCTCATCTTGATAAGCATAAACTTATCTGCGACTATCAATTTGGTTTCCTTAAAAATAAGTCCATTACTTACCAGCTTATTTTAGCTTACCAAGATTTCTTTAAGGCCGTGGATCAAAAACAACGCAAGCACTATCAGCTTGAAGCTGTGTTTTTAGATTTTGCTGGAGCTTTCGACTCTGTCCCTATTCTTCTAAACGATTCTCTCTCCTCTTCCTTTAATTGCTCTAGCGGTGTACCCCAAGGAAGTATTCTGGGTCATATACTTTTTACAATTTACATTAAGGATTAACCTGAGTTAAATTTTTCATCTAGGGACTCATCTATATGGCTTTATGCTGATGATGCTAAATTAACCTTTAAAATTCCCATCAAAGATGAAGCCGCTAAGCTTGCTTCTTTAAGAGACGCCATGTCAGATCTTGATCTGGTTGAAAAATGGTCCCATAATTGGAAATTGAAAATTGGCGATTTACGAATTTACGAAATCCCGTCATTTCTCCACCGGAAATGCTATTTTCCCGCGGAAAATTAATTCTACACCATGAAACAGAATTGGCAAAGAGGATTTTATCAGAGATCTTGGAGTCCATATTTCCCCACCTTTAGATTTCTCAAAACATTGAAATTACTTGCCGTACAGCTTCTTTCGTCTCTAGTCGTATCCTGAAAGCAATTTGTGATCCGAAAATTGACACTTACAGAAAGTGTTTCATCACTTACGTTAGACCCATTCTATAGTTTGGTCTCCACAAGTTGGTATCTCTCGCCTAGAAAAAATCCAGCAGAGATATAAGAAGATAACTCGGGATCTTTTCAGGCGATAGATTTTTCCAAATTTGCCTACATTAGTTACACAGATAGACTTAA